GAACCACACATCCCCCAGACAGTGGAAAGTTACTTAAATATTACGCAATGACCTCTAGGCAAATCGAAATAAGTACTGGTTTGCGTCAAAATAGAGTCCAAGGATAGTAAAAAGTACAGCGCGTTTCATTTATTAGTTCATTATAACCAGAATCCTCGACAATTACCTATCTTTCGAAGTTAAAATTTTATCATACTTTCGAATTTTCAAAAATAATTCACCGCAGTTTCGAGTTTTTGAAGCGAGGCGCCGATAAACCGGTCTTGCAGAGCCTGCGAGAAGAGAGTTTGAACGTCGACCCAGTGGAGATTATTTAGCTTCCAGAAGTTCCTGCTTTTGTAGCTCCTGTTCTCTATTAGTCTTTACTAGGACACAAAATCAGTACAAAACAAAAAGAATACATCAGATCCCCAAGTTATAGTTACCAAAATATCAAAAAACAATGTACATATTACAAGTTTTTCTCAGCCCATTATGTAGAGCGGGTACTGTAAAAAAATTTACTTTGCTGAAACTGACGCTTTCTGAAATACATATGGAAAAAGTGTAGTACATAATTGTCTCGTAATTCGATGTATTAAAAATAATATATAAATATCATTTAATTATAAAATTTTAATGAAGTAGACTCGTATTTTGGGTTATTCAAAGCTATGTACCCCTACAAAGTGAAGTCAATCTAACAGCTACAATGAATTAAATCATTAACGAATACCATGTTTTTAAAAATTTATTATTAAATTTCCCTGGGGCTTTGATCAAATAATAATTTGACTCACTAGTACATTCCCTTACTGATATGCCACCCATGGAGATTATTAGCTTAATATAAACAATTTTTGCAAAACCTTTAAAAGTCATATTCAATTCTGTAATTACATATAAAGATTATCCACAAGTATGGAAAGAGTCGCGAATATGCCCCGTTTATAAAAACGGTACTAAGAACGACATAACTAACTACCGGCCCATAGCTATTATAAGTAATTCTCAAAAATCCTAGAAATAATTTTACACAATCGACTTTATTTTCATATTGCAAATCAATATCTCCGTACCAACATGGATTTATGAGGGGTCGGTCAACTACCTCATATTTAGTTGAGAAAACCCAATTTATTGCTGAAGCTTTGGATGCAGGAAGTCATGCTGATGTGTATACTTAATTTTCCAAGGCTTTCGATCGACTTGATTATAATTTATTAACATTGAAATTGGAGTCATATGGTATATCCCCTGCTCTATTATCTCTGTGTAAATCTTATTTAGTAATAGGTACCAATTTGTGCAGTATCGAGGCTTTCAATCATGTAAATTCCATCAATCTTCAGGAGTTCCGCAAGGGTCAATCCTGGGACCACTTTTATTTATTATTTTTATTAATGACAACTGAATGCCTCATCGATGTCAACTATTTATTCTATGCGGACGACCTGAAGTTGTTCTTGGAAGTTAAATACTCTACCGATTGTACCACAGTACAAGATAATCTTGACAGATTGCACAATTGGTGTTCATATAATAATCTACCTCCGAATGTAAGTAAATGTAAAATTATGTCTTATAGTCGACGCAAAACTAATTTAGATTTTGATTATAAAATTGGTGAATCTTTTTTAGGTAAATAGAGTACGCAATTTACTGCCCTTGGTGTTACATTCGATACTAGATTATCGTTTGACGAGCACATTAGTTTAGTAACCAAATCAGCTTATAAGAATTTAGGATTTATTCTGCGAAATTCTAAGGATTTTCAGAATGTAAAGGTTCCAAATATACAACGGAGATTTTTAAAGACTATTCATTTTATTAGTTATGGATTTTATCCTCCCCGTGATGCACCTCAAGATTTATTGTTTTCTTGTTTTAATTTTAATAGTCTCTGTCGTAGGTGAATTATGTTTTCAATTATATTCCATTTAAAAATCATAAATAACACTTTAAATGCAGATTCGTTAGTCTCAAGGATTTTATATCATGTTCCTAGACTTAATTCCAAATTTCACTCTGTTTTACAATTATTCACACCTCGTATCAATTTACTAATAGCATGGCCCATATATCAGTGATTTCCAATATCTTGTATATGTTAGTTAGATTATTTGTTCTATTTGTCAGTTATTGTTTATACTTAAGTTGTTTGTCTGGATTTTATATTTTATATTTTGATTGCTCTATTTTATATAGTATTTATATTTTTACAGTTAATGTTAGTTTGTCTTTTTCTTTTAAAATTTAGTTAAGGTTTTCTGTTTTACCGTATCTTGTATTAGGGACTTTGTCCCTTTGGATATTGTAACTTCTAAATATATAAATAAATAAATATATTCTAGTGTAATTGTCGAGGTGTATTGGACATTCAATGCACTTGGAACGCGAAGATTTGTGTATGGAACTAATAAACACAAAGGATTGTGTATTTATAGTTAATGCCTAAGGAAATATATGACTACATTTTATAATTAGTTCTAATGCATTTTTATCCTTTGATTTATTATGAATTAGGAAGTCAATAAACCTTTTTCGCATTTATAAACGTTTTATCTAAATAATTAAATATAAAAGCAACAAGAATGAGAAATTTTAACCCAAGTCACCATAATATAATTAATACAAAATTTCCATTGATATAGCCTCCATAAAATACTTTTGCAGAGGATGAGATACGACAATATGCACGTCTTACCTACTTTTAAAATATTCTGCAATTGTAATAAACCTTTGCATATAAAAATGCTATAAATTCTTAATTTAATAAAGAACCAACCAATTAAAAAGTAACCAATTTACGAGCCCGATGAAAGCCGACTCGTCACGGGAAGCTTTTCGTAGCCGTGGAAATTAGTAGGTGTACCGGTTTGAATGGAAGTCGTAAAAAAGTGCTTATAAAATTATGTTACGGTACCGCGGACGAGAATGAGAAATGGTCGACAGTGGTTGTTGGAAAATTTATAAAGAATGTTTTTCTGACAGCTAATTGAGTTAGCTCATACCTCACTTTGTTTCCACTTGTTTGTTTTCGTTAACATCGATAAATTCTATAATAACTTCCAGCAACAAAACGGATATATTATATTAGTTAATGGATGACAGGTCCCATAAAGAAAATTTTCAGCCGTGTCAAGTTATTAGAAAACGCAAATAACTTTCATCATTAAAATAGAATGGATATTAATTAATTCCAGCTGGAAAAATACCTGTTCACAAAAATAGGTGATAATAAAAGGTTTTTAAAAATATATACTATTATTCGATTATAATTCTTTTTAAATATGACTCCAAATTCATACAAATTTCACAATGACTATGCAAAAATATAAATGAAATTAAATACAAAGCGTTCTCAGTAAGTTGTCCTTCGATTTGGTTTAGATCCAATAAACCTAATGTCAATGATTTGCGAAATTGATATGACTTTTTTGTATAGAGAAATACCTAATATTTTTTGCAAATGCTTACTCTTAGGACATGAGATGCCCAAAAGCACACGCATGTCTTTTATTCCATTTATCTAATTTTTCTACACACTCTAAATAAATCGGTCTGAGTGAAGGCAAAAGATACGTAGTGAGTCCATTGAGTAAAACTATTGAGTACATTTTCAATCAATATTGAGCATTTTGATAATTTTACACATTTTTGATAATATTTTAACTAAAACTGATAGTTTCACACATAAAATTTTAGATGTACACAAACTAATAGAGGAAAATTGCACTCAATCGGGTGTGGACATTATTGAGTGAAATTGAGTGAAAATAAGTCCAATTTTTCTTACAGTGTACGATTTAATAAAAATTTTTTCATGTCCCTATTTAAATTTATTTTAAAATGGACTAATTAAATAAGAACAGTGCCCAATCATAATTTTTCTTTAGCGTTGAGTGTCCTGTGACATATTCTATTGTAATGGATGTTTTGAACTGACTATTCTGAATTTTGTCATTTATTTCCATTAACTTCTTTGTAAATTCTAAATAACGATTTGATTGAAATTTACAAATAGTGTTGTAACTACGTAAAACTTAACAGAATGCTCTAGGTTGGATTTCTTTTATCTGCGTTCTCCTACGTTTTAAATAAGTCTAAAGAAAATTTAAATTTACTATTTCTGCAACTTTTCAGTAGATACATTGCGCAAAATAACATATAAATAGATATAATATGTATATCAGAGAACAATATAATAATAGCGTAATCTCAAAAACATTGTTTTAAATCCCATTTTATCCTCGCAAATACTATAAGCCAAACAAATATATAAGGATTACTTACGTTTTTAATAATTAGTCTGACTCAGAAAATGTCAGCAACCGCGAAACAATAAACTAACAAAAAAAAATCAATACTCACCCTTAGGCTATTTTTCCCTAATTATTAATAAATGTATCGCCAGTAGCAGATGTATTTAGAAAAAATGTAATAATTCTTACACTACTAAGAATACACTCAGTATCGATTGATTATAATGTTATTTCTTATCCTTAACTAAGAATCTTTGACGTACTGTTCTTGGGTTAGGCACTGCCACTGGCAGACTCCCTAGGTTTGTTCTGCTACCAACTTCAATCCTTATTTTTATTTTTAATGCAACTACGAACGAAACCAACTTTAGACAACATCCAATGCTTCCAATCTTTCCTCACAGTCCGTATGTAGCGGCCTTAAAACCAACAACCGAAAACAGTATCAGGGAGAGCTAAGGATTCTTATAACATATCCGCCCCCCCCCACAGAACCTAGACCAAGAACAACAATGACAGGTTAAAACAAAGCTAAAGCTAAGGAAGTGCATTATAAGTATGTAACTGATAGTGACTAAGTACATAAGCCACGATATAACTACCCGGAAATCCATATTTAAATAACAGTACGGGTCGTAAAAGAATTAAAACCACCACAGAATTTAAAATTTAAAATCCAAGCCTCTGAATACTTGACATTGAATTTGTGATTAATATATTTACGTCTGATTTTATAAACTATGTTTTCTTTTTTCTTTCAGAATGCCTGGCCAACTTATCACCCCTATTCATCCTAGACATGAACAACATAGTTATACCGGAAAACACACCTGTAGGCACACTTATATATACTTTACAAGGCAGTGATCCAGAAAACAGTCCCGTTCATTATGATCTTCAGGGGACCGATGCCTTAAAAGTTGATCACACCACTGGAGATGTCACAGTCGTTAAGCCCTTAGATTACGAAGTAGGTATAAGCAAGCGTCAATTATGATGAAGTTGAGCGTTTTTACTTTTACCTGGCCCCATACCCAATACTGTCCCTTATGTATTTCAATTACAAATTTGGATATATTTGTAGTATGTGGCCCAGCATCAGTTTAGTTGTTAGTTGTTGTAAAATTTTAATATTTCATAAAAACTTGCGGCCTTCTAATAAATTTCGAAAATAAATTCATAAATGACAGAACTTCACAGATGAAAGATATCTCATTTGTGTCGAACTGAATTTTTTGAAGTATGCCATAATAATTTTACATACTTTGAAAATTATGATAACAATTTTGTAACACTAAATTCACATTTTGAAGGATTTGTGTTAATAGTGCTTAATCTTTCGAATATTTGATTTAAATGTTCCAAATGCGATCATTTCTTAAGCCAAATGGCATTCTAAGACATTCAAAAAGATCGAAATAATTTCTTCGAATGTCAACTGGAATCTGATATTGAGCTTTAAGGTCGATTATTGAAAATATGTTATAACTATAAATACGTAATTTAAATCTTGAATATGTGGCAAGTGATATTTATCTATGACATTGTTTAATTGTTTCAAATCCTCGTGAGTTAGATAGAGAATATCGATGATGATCAATTGTCATGATGTGATGTTTAATATTATGTCGAACAAATAAGACAAATTTGGAGGTCTAGAAATTATTTAGTATTTCATAAGCTTAATAATTTTCAGCAGCAAATAAAATAGGTGTAAAGACTGTCAAAATTAATTAAACCATTATTAGCACAAATACTATACTTTACAAAAATTTTATATATCGTACAAAACACATTTCTTACTATACATTTTTAAAGAAAACTTTACCAACTAATCTCGAGACAGTTTCATGCAATATCTGAATGTACGATGGACTGAAAGCCATCTGACTGCAGTGTGACTATTGAAATGTCGCTCCTGCACACAACTACATTTTGCTGCCAAACGTTTTACCAGTTGACAGCGAAAGCATGTGAAATTCTCGAGAATACCTTCTCTAAACTTTACATACTAGAAATTACTAGGAAGGGCTTTATAATTCCCTTAATTTTTGTACAACTTGACAGATTTCGAATGAACGTTAATGAGAACTTACATTTCTAATTTAATATATGAAAACAAAAGGTTTATGCAAGGGAAGGTCCGGGTAATTATTATTACTTACGAAATCAAAATTTGTATAATTTCTTTCTTATATCGTTACCTAAATATGATAAAGATTTTAATATTAAATTATCTTTTGCAGACTAATGCGACACTGAACGTTAATGTGAGCATAGAAGACGAAGTCCAAGGAGGCGGCAAGAACAACGTCGTTGTAGTACCGGTAACCGTAATCATTGCCGATCAAAACGACAACGCCCCAGAATTTCAAAACGTAAATATGCTATTTCCTTTATCATGAATATTTATTAAAATAATATATAGTATGAATAATTGATAGGGTTTACCATATTTTATTAAATGCTTGTGGAAACTCGTTTTTAATCAACCATAGTGTGGTCATACATATTTTATTACGATAAATTGTTATTTTCCTGTTTTAAGTTGAATCCGTAACTATAGGAGGCAATGAAATATTTTAAATCGCCATTTTGTTAAGTTTATATTGCTGCTGTTACATTTAGATTTTTTTCTAAGTCATTTAATTGCCTCAGTCATAATATTTGGTTTCACGTCACCTACCACCTAACTTATTAGAATTAAAACTGAAAACGGTTCTTTATTTTCTGAACCTAGAATAATAAAATCTGAAGTGCCACAAGGTTCTGTCCTGGGGCCTTTACTTTTTAGTATATGTACTGCGGACTTTGTGTCGTCAGTAGTGCATACTACTTTGCACATGTATGCAGATGACTTACAAATTTTGTACAGCTTTGAAATTGACAATAAACTATTAATTCTGACTTGCATCGGATTAAGGAGTTATGCGATAAAAATGCTCTAATGCTTAACCCAAATAAATGTAAAAACCTGGTTATCGGTACTTATCAAAAAACTAGACAGTTGGGGGATTTTGCTGTTTATATTGACAATTGTCCTTTGGAAAACTGTAGTTCAGTAAAGAATCTGGGTCTTGTATTTGATAATGACCTGAAATTCTCACAACATGTTAGTGAATTATGTAAGAAGGCGTTCATCTCCTTTAAGCAAATAGCGCCTTTAAAACGTTATTTGAGCTCTGACATTAAATTAGTATTGGTCGAATCCTTAGTTCTGTCTCATCTAAATTACTGTGATTATGTTTATGGTCCTTTACTTACAAATGCTGATAAATTTAAAATGCAAAAAATTCAAAATTGCATGCGTTTTGTCACATATATACCCTTTCTTCACCATGTTACTCCCTTTATTAGACAGTTCGGTAAATTAAGACTCTGTGAAAGACGTTATATTCATTTTTGTGTTTTTGTAAATAAGATACTGTGTAATACAACTCCTGACTATCTTTATGAGAAGTTGGTTTGGCGACATGATGTACATGATCGTCAGCTTCGTAATTTACACGATTTGCAAATAATGCGTCATCGAACTGAATATTTTAGATGTTCATTTACCTATTTAGCAAGTATGATATTAAATAATGTACTGGTGCCTCAAGACTTAACACTCCGTAATGCTGCTCTGATTAAGAAACGCATTCGTGAGTTGGTCATGGAAAACGATAACTCCACGAATGCTGCTGTTTTTTAGTTTTAGTTTTTTAATTTTTGATTTAATATTAGTATTAATATAATATGCGTGTGTGTGCGAGTGTGAGTCTGACTATACTACGTATTTGTATGTGTATTGCACAAGCATGTATGAGTGTTGTGTATGTATATGTAAGTTATACTGTTTTTTTACATTGTTTTAATAACACTTTATAATTTGTTTATATTATTGCTTTTAATATGTGTAAGTTACTTGACTTTCTGAGGGGTAGGCTAATTATCAGTTATCTGTGTCTAGTCCTTTTGTGTATAGGTTGTATATTGTCTTATAACTATGCACAATAAATATTTTTTACCTTACCTTTACCTTTACCATAAATTTCTAAAAATGTTAGATAAACACCCCAAGAATTTATGTTAGGGTTATTTCTTTCTAGTACTTTTATAAATAATAATAATTCAAAATTATGGTGTAGAACATCATTGTCTCTTGACGATTAAACATTTTGTTCTTTGAAATAAATGATGGAATTGTAAATGAATTAATATATCTGTATGGAAGTGCAATCAGCTTCCACTCAATGTAAGCAAACACGAGTTTTATTAAACAATTATTTAATAATTGACTATGTATGTACTTAACAACCAGAGACGAAAGAAGATCTGTGTGTGATTCTAAACTCTCTTTTTTTCATACATATGTGTTTCTTGATTTGCTTTAAAATAGCAATATATAGAAAATAATTGACTGTTGCATAACCAAACATTTGTTTTTTTAATGGGCATCTTGTACTTTGATCGTTTTTTGGATTCCTCTCCTTTTTCTAATTACAATGATATATTTGCATTGAATTGGTCTTGCGGATCCCTTTGTAAGAAAATGTATTTAAAAAAATGTCTTTTGTCCTAAAAAATTTCCTAAAACTTTGGACTGTATCATTTTTTCCTAAATAAAAAGATAAAAAGATAAGGGGTGTAGAATATTGTATAAATTACTCCACCGAACGCCCTTGAAGGTATTCAAAGAAGATTTTTAAATTTTGTATTGATTTCAAAAATATGGCACTTTATGCCTCAGGAGCCTATACTTAAGAAGTTTAATGCTTCAGATTATGAAAATAGAAAGAAATATAATCTGCTGCATTACTATGTAGTTTCCTGTTCTTACGTACTTCTCTGCCCTTTATTTGGTTTTCTACCCCCTATTATGTATTTTCTGGGATATAGCATTTTATAAATAATACAGGCACATGTGATCTATTTGGTGGATGAGATCCATGCCACCTTATGTAATTTGCCACGAGAAATGCTGCATCACTCACTAGTTTTATTAATTTGCCAAAAACTGCCTCTAAAACCTGAGAAACAGCCAAAACTTTGCAGTAGATTTCTCGTTGGATTCAGCACTGGCACTTAATGCATATTTTGGGAGTTCAAGGCTCAATCAACCCTTGCAGTCTTTAAGGTTATGTTGAACATCAGAAAACTACTCCTAAACCCTAAAGATCAGTAAAATTTCTACATTCAGGTTCAGGTCACAAACTCAAACCATAAATTTACAGACAAGTGAAAGACGTGAACTTTTTTAGTAAACGAGCTGCACATACAATACACACTGGGATGTCCTGGACATTCGAAGACAAGATCAGCGTTGTAATCTTCTAGTTCTTCATGGATGTTAGAAATCCCTATACATCTTCTTAGCATCCAATAATATTTCCAAAAAAAAGCCACTTTAGAACAGCCTTTAAGTATAGTTGGATTATTTGGATTTTCTCGACATATTCGTGTTGAAGGTTTTATATATTAAAGCAGAGTTTGACTTTGAAGACAAGTCTAATATTTGTATCAGGAAAGAGCACTTCTCTATTTCTAGGCAGATTTATTTAGCCTTACTAACTGAAAACTATATTTTTGATACTGGCATATTTACTACCTAGGTCCTTCTAAATACTCCAGAATTTTCCTTTGGGAATCCCATTTTCCTTTGATTTACTTTATTAATGCAATAATTCCTACATGGAAATTAGGAGTTCTTAAGTAATAAATCATATTACTGTAAAAATTTGCGAATAGTTTCATATATTTCAGATATGATTGGAGATAAACTCGTTTGGAATGCTGTATCCAAAGAGAAATCCAGTAAATGCAAAATAGTAACAGATTTTTTGGGGTTCGGGGAGAAGAGGACTGATTTTGTCTTTGTATGCCCGGAATATCATGTGGTATTAGATGAATGTGCAGTGTCTATGGATTATAAATTTAAGTTCATTATTATTTATTAAACAAGCCCGCGTTGCTCTTGTCTGTCTGAGTGTCTAGAGTTCGTAAATTTGTCTGTCTCTGCGCTGTGGTTCATGTTTCTAACTTGTAACCAACGTATGTAGAATTTTAGCTGATTTTTAGATAATTATTGGGTTCACCCAACGCTGAAAGTTTGCAGGAAAGAATGTAAAACTTTGTATTGAATTAAAAAGTACTTCAATCCTTTCGACGTAAGTTCAATATTACATTCATTCAGTGTTACAATCGATTTTCATCAAGAACCTGCAATGATTGATTGACTGATACATAAAATATGCAATAAGCCTTATATAAGAATATGATGTCGACTCATTTCCAGGACTGTACCCTAGGAGAAACCTGCTGAATGTAGTTTTTTTGCTTTTTAGCTGTTAAATATGGTTTTGGCAATTAAAAAATAACTACTTCCATGACATATTGGATTTTTTATATACATAATACATAGATGACATGAGTTTAGAACATACCACTTTTGTTGTGCTGATATAATTAAGTAAATAAGTAGATAAATGAGTAAATAATTAAATGTGTAAATGGTAAACCGAATATCAATCATAAAATAATGAGGTCGCCGAAATAAATACATAGACACACACAGTTGTTTCACATAATTAATTGATGGATTTGTTAAAATTAAAGTTAATTAATTCAAAATAATACCTGATTTTTATATAGAGTGACTCATTGATATTGAGAAAAATTCAATTGGCGATCCCTTGCAAAGAAATAAAACATGTCCAAAAAATGTATGTTAAGAGACACAGAATGTTGAAATTTGGAAAAATCACGTTTAACGAAGATGAAGCGAATTGGACTAATGACTAATCTAATTAAAGGTGAAAATTTCTTGATTTTAAATATAAATGGGTGAATCACTGATTGAGGTAACATGGTCATACGACATCATTTTAGAAATTTGATCAGTGTCTATAGCTTCTAGAAACATTTCTAAAAAAAGTTTTGTTCCCTTTTTTTTTAACAAGTTATTAGTTTCTTAGCTTACATTGGCATTACAACAACACTAAAAGTAGCCGTTTTACAAGAAAAGTTCATAAAATTATTTTTCTAAAAATATTTTTTCACTGCTATGCCCCTTGATCTTTTAATAAAACGCTGAATTTCTAAGCCAATGATTTTTTCGCATTTGTCACGATCATATCGTATTTTTTAGAAAAAAAAAAGTTTACTTTGTAAATAATTATTTTAGATTAACTGGAGTGCTTTGTAAGCAAAATACAAGTTACAAAAGAAAATGTATTACCTCGAAAATGGTAATTTGTATACAGGGTGGTCCGCATTTTATGCAGGAAACATCGAGGCAGATGGATCTCTTTAAAATAATATGTGTTTGCCTTATAAACATTGGTTTGGAACGGCCCCGTTTTATAGATACAGGGTGTTGAAGTTGTTACAAAAAGTGTTTTTTTGTTTATATCTCTGGAATCTATTAACCGATCTCAATAAAATTTAGTACGGATAATGTATGATAGTAGGCCTTACATTCCCTAAAATATAATCTTTAAAGGTATAACCAGTTGTGTACAACTGGGCAGGGGTCCATCTCCTTTTTTACAAAAAAAACTACGCCACTGCATTTTTTACATGTCATTTTAACTGATTTATATTCTAATGCATAAAATACGTGAAAAAGGTAACTTGAATTTTTTTCCTAAGATTTGCCGTTCTCAACTTATTTATACCAATACAATCCCCTTGTGGCAGACACTTCAAACCATAATATTACAAGAGTAATTATGTTTATGCTTAAAAGTAAGTGCAATTTCTAAGCACATCAACAAAATTATTTACACTCCTTTCTACATCAGCTGTGAGTGTTCCTAGCGTTTTTAGTTTTCCCTGGAGGCCTAATACTCTTTACAAATAAGAACAATTTAAATCAAAATAATGAAAATATATTTACCAAGCAACAGCAACTAAACAAGAAACAAAATTAACGTTACGTATTTACAACAATTGTTCAAAATGCGAACCACCCACATCGATACATTTCTGACATATTCTATTAATGAAATTAATTGAAGTGTCAAGTGAATATCATGTGGTGGTTTTCTTTTAATACATTACACCCGTCTTCTATTCGTTGCAGTAGTTGTGGTCTTCTATTTGTTGGAGTAGAATAAACTTTACTTCTCAGATGACCCCAAACATAGAAGTCCAGGCGGTTTAGATATGGCAATCTGTCTGGCCAAGACACTGAACCCTCTGCTCCATTATGGTTGACATTGGCATTTGGTCTTCTACCTATCCATCGCCCCATATAATTTTCATTAAGCCATTCTTATATTGTTCTCCCTATTCTCTCAGAATGCGCGGGAGCACCATCCATTGTATCCAGCTATTTTATCGCATATTTAATGGAACATCCTCTAATAATTCAAATAGATAATTTTCTAGAAAGTTTAGAAATGACTGGGAATTTAGACGGGGTGGCAAGAAGAAATGTCTACAAACTTTGTTGCGAATTATTCCGAGCCACACGTTCATAGAAAATTCGTGTTGAGAAGATCTTGTCCGAATTTCATGACGATTTTCTTGTGACCAAATATGCAGATTGTGAAAATTCACTACCCCTCGCCTTTGGTAAATGTAACTACATTTATTATTATTTTGATTTAAGTTGTTCTTATTTTTAAAGATAGTGGGTTCGGCTTCCAGGGAAAACCAAAACGCGTAAGGAACTCTACCTCACAGGTGGTGTGGAAGCGAGTGTAATAAGTTTTGTTGATGTTTTTACGAATTCCACTTACTTTTAAGCATAAACATAAATATAATTGTAATATTATTGTTAGAAATGTCTGCACAAGAAGATTGTATTGATATGAATAACTTGAAAACGGCGAATCTTAGGGAAAAAATTCAAGTTACATTTTTTACGTATTTTGTGCATTACAATATAAATCCGTTACAATAACTTGTAAAAAATGCAGTGGCGTCGGTTTTTTTTGTAAAAAAGGAGATTGACCCCTACCCAGTTGTACACCACTGGTTATAACTTTAAAGATCATATTTTAGGGAATGTATTGGGAAGGGAATGTTTTATTGAGATCGGTTAATAGATTCCGGAGATATAAACAAAAAATCAATTTTTTTAACAACTTCAACACCCTGTATCTCTAAAACGTGGCTGTTCCAGACCGATATTTATAAGGCAAACACATATTATTTTACATGGATCTATCTGCCCTCGAAGTTTCCTGCATAAACTTCGAACCACCCTGTAGATGTAATGGAAGAGATCTTGTTTCTACGATATACTACGATTTGACGTTACAGACAGTGATCAAATTTCTAAAGTACCCAGTGGCGTAGAATTTATGGGGTCTTTAATATTTGTGACTTCCTTCCGAACTGAGCAAATTTTTACCTTTAATTAGATAAATCATTATCTGAAGTCTCATTGCTCTAGATAGTTTAGAATATGTGATATATTTGAAATTTCAACACCTTATACCTCTAAAATAAAACGTTTTCGGACACATGTTCATAGGGACTCTTTTTCCTAATTTTTGCAAGTAATCCCCACTTCTATTTTTCCCGGTATTTTAATATATTTAATAAATACATTAATTTTTTAATTACATAACTTAATTATTAATTTTTAATTTTCCATTTATTTCCAGACGCCGTACGAAATAGTGATAAACGAGGACACGCCGCCGGGCACGACAGTATTCTCCAGCATCAACATCACCGACAGGGACACCACGGGCTCGAACATCGAGGTGGAATGCACAAATTTACCGGAATACCAGGACGCGTGCGAAATTTTTAATATCGAAACGCTTAGTTCTGAACAGAGTTCGTATCAGGGCGCGATTATCCTGAAAAGAAAATTAAACTACGCCATCCAGCAGGAATATGGATTTCTTCTTAAAGCAACGGTAGGTATGCGCTGGGCTCAGTGGTGGCTCGTTGCTTTTCGCAATTGTATTGTTTTATTTTAATGTTTTTAAATAGCAAATATTTTTACATTTTTTATTAATCGACCTGTTACCTTCAAACACAAGTTTTTCTTCCCCACATCCCTGAAAATTATACAAATATATCACAATTTTTTAACAAACCAGCATTGCAATTTTTATGGAGAAACGCGAAAATAGACGAAGAAGAGAATAGATGAAGAAGACGAGGACGAAGAAGAAGACGAGAAAACGAAAAAGAAGACGAGAAAACAAAGAATAAGACGAGAAAACGAAGACAGATGAATAATAGATGAAGAAGAAGACGAGAAGATGAACAATAGACGAAGAAGAGATAAAATAGAAGATGGAACCCTCGTATTATTATTATTTTCATCAATAGTAAGAAAAATGTTACATATTCTTATGTGAAAAATTTTGTTTCCTATATTTACTAAGATATTCTGGGGTGGGCAGCCACCCCGCTTTGCCCATCCCGACGAACCGCCTCTGGTCGGGGTCCTTTCATTCCGGCGACGAGTCACTCTCATCTCTTATAGATGAAACACGAGAAGTGAAAGCGGGATATCGCGGAATGGGAGCCACGATCATATTTTATTTAGGCAATATCAATGTGCGGGTGGATCTCTACGGAATTGTAAAAAAATATTTATATGCTCCCAAGGGAAACTTCAATCAAAACGTAGTCCCTTAAAAGGTAGATACCGGTTTTTATAACCTTATTATCCGAGCAAAGGAAAATTTTGAAGTTTGGGAAAATTATTTGAAAACTGCTACTTTAATCTAATACTGTCAATGAATAGTAAAACAACATAGGTATCTGGTTTAATATTTTCATCTTATATATTCACAATTTTTATATAAAAGCTGTTATCTTCAATTAAGTTACCTTTGCCAATACCTGTAGCCAGTTTACAGTTACCTACTTATTTTATCAAGACAAGTGACGCACCGTTTCACATAAAATTTGCGTTTGGTTGTGCAATTTAAAATCATTTTTAATTTTATATAAATTTTATAATTTGTGTATAATTCTATATAGAACATATATTGTTTGTTTGTTTAACACGCAGAAATAAACAGAATAGTTGCGCGATGAACCCTTTCTAAAAAAACATTGCCTTCGTTGCCTCCTACCATACAACGTATATTATACGTAAGTGACGCAGATCGAAATCAGTCTGTATTCCACTTCTCTTCGAAGCGTTGTTTACGGCAGTTGTCATGGCAACAAGGCGGCCAACACGGGAGTATTACGGCGTGGGAGAACGAGTGACGCGGATATTGAAGCAGCATTGTCATCGCCTTGCCTTTAAACAGTAGTTGAATAGTACCTCGTGAAAAATTACACCAATTATAGCTGGTGAAACAGAACATTGTGTTTTAATGTAACGTTTATCTTACTATTTTAATCATTTTTAATTTTGCGGCAATTTAATGGTCAACATAAGAGAAATAAAATTACTGTTCCAAATAAAACTACTGATCACGTGACTTGTAATCATTTATGAAGGCTTTGCTTTATCTTGTTCGTAAAAATAAAAAATAAAAAACTGTAGCCGAACGATTCCCTGGAAATCTCACACATGTACCTGGTGTATTCAATGAGTGCAAACCTTTCCGAGATTTCAGGGTCGGCCACTTCTATTTTTATTTTTTATTTCGCAAATTTCCTTGCAAGTTTTCAAAATGTTTTCTACTTAAGCAAATAAATCTACTCAAAAGAAATTCGTGGGACTATTTTAATTTTCAGGCGCCGTCATTGACATTTCCCACAATAAAAAACACGTATTTGATTTTCGACTAACAAAATGTTGTCTAAGATAACCATTTTATAATTTTAAAATATACATGCCGGTTCACAAGTTATCCAATGAATGCGATACCTAGTCTAAAAAAAATTCAATTGGGACATTTTCAATTTTATTTAAAAACATCTATCTACATGCCACTGAAATTTGATCGACTGTAATACCCGAACTATCGCAATGCATTCACGTCAACTGGCGTGTACATAAAAAGTTAGATGAAAATAATTTAACAAGGTAATAAATAAGGAGTTTTATCGCAGGTATTTTGTGTTAATGTTTTCAGTTATTACTTTTATTACTGTTATTAGTTCCTACTGTTATAACATAAATGTAATCAGTAAATGATAATTAGCACCTTAATCAAGAAAGAATTATTAGGTATTTACATGATGTTATAACAACAGTCAAAGTTTTATCCACCCACACGAAAATATATTTGAGCTTATTTGATCCAGTTTTGACAGACCAAAACAAAATTACTGCAGTAGCTGTAATACGTTTGCGTAAATCATCAACAGTTTCCACTTCAGCCTAATAAACATTTTTTTAAATGTCACAATAAAAAATCGAGAGGGTTTAAGTCAGGAGATCGGGGTAGCCATGCAACTGGTCCTTCTTGTCTAATAGATCGTACTTCTTGGTCATTATTAAAACAATCCTGAACATTTTGTCAGAAATGAGGAGACGCACCATCGTGCAAATGTATGAACCACATTCGTTGTAGAACATCTAACGGCACATATTCGAGAAGTCTAGGCAGATTATTTCAAAGAAAATCAACATATTGAAAATCGTCCATTCGATTTGACAATAGGAGTCGTCCAATTAAGCGATTATCAACATTCACAAAACGGTGTTAAAAACGATCCCGATGAATTTAAACTTTTTTGTTGTAACAATGATATACAAAATCTAATCCATAACGATTGATCTGCTGGTATTGATTCTTGGACAAGTTGTACATGATAGGGATGCATACGTGTAATATGCGCCACATTGTTGATTGGGACTACAAATTCTCATAATAGTTATTACTTCCTTATTTTTATTCTTATTCTTTTTGGTATTGGAATTACATCGATATCCTTGTATTTTTCTCCACAGATTTAAATATGTAATCATTATAGTAATTTGTTTGATATTTTGGTTTTTCTGTCCTTTCTATTATGTTATTCTCTGTTTCCAGGATGGTGAACTGAGCAACTCTACAACCGTATCAATTAAGGTAGGGGATGTACAGGACACACCTCCTTATTTCGAAGGGAATCTTACCACCGAAGTAGACGAAAATGCTCCCATCAACACCTTAGTTATGACTGTACATGCTGAGGATGGCGATAGAGGCATACCCAGAAAAATTGTCTACGAATTAATTAATAGTAAGTACAACTAACTACGTCACGCACGTAATTTTAATTATTCTCTAACCCTAATCCTTTAACTTTTGATCTTTGAAGTAAAAGTATTCAGAGATTTTACCCTATTTTTCTCTTCATTCCCTGGATAATAATGAATTCGTACAAATATTTAGTATAATGATATTAGCTCATTTCATCAGGTCAGTTCGTACGAACAAAATGACACTTGTGACAATTAAGTGTCAAAGAAAGTAAATTTGATTTATTATATTAGAATATGATCATAACAAGACCAAATAATGTAAAAGGTCTTGCAATGGGGAATAAACTAGATCAATTTTAATTTACTTAAATGTAAACAACGAATTAAAAAACACAATCCTGTTATACAATTAATTCGCAACTAGTATAACATCCGCTTAATGCATACCAAAATGCTTGCTGATTTGAAAATAAGTCAGCTTTTGAGTTGAAATTTTAATATTGGATATGAGAAAGGTATCCACATATCTGAAAACTTAAAAAAAATTCCGGTAGATTCAAAAGAGATGTCCAGTCTGTGTTTTTCTTTGCATTTCAAACTTCAAAGGAAATATTTGCCTTTTCTGGACGTACATTTATACGAATCAATCAAGCAACATTTCAATCTTTTTTCTAACATACCTCGCATCAATATTTGGTGGTGCAAAATTTTAACAATTTTAATAGATATCTGACGACAAATGTAAATTATAAGGCTAACAAAAGAAGGAATAAAAATAGAACACTGTCATTATTTCAGATCCAATGGACTACTTTCTTCTTGATGCCGTGACTGGGGAATTGAGAACCGCAAGACCCCTGGATAAGGAGTCTATTGGAAATCCCGAGGGCATCCTAAAACTAAATATACGGGTAATTATGTCGTAAACTCAGATAAGGTCGTCTTTCGACCGTCCTACATATACATACAGCAGCTTGTTTTTCTCAAATAGCTTAAAACGCGCATGAAAAATCAATCTTGTTTACTACGTTCCAGGCTACCTCACTACGTAGTCGGGTATTTTGATTACTTTAAGTACAGGGTGTTGTTGAAAATGGGTTTTTCCTTTTAAATGGTGTTTGTAGGAAAAAAATAATAATTAAAAAAAAAAGTCTTATTAAAACTCTTTTAATAACCGAAATATTAGCATTTAAAAGAATAACACTATGTCGTCTTGAGTCTACGATAAGTTGTAGTCTCAGTTTCAACAACTTTAGGTCCTGTAACTAATAGTTAGAAGAAGTTTCGTTTGTGTGCTATAAAATAACTTTATATTTCGTCATGATCTACCCTCATCCCTCTCACCCCTAAGGGTGCGTTAGATTGTATTTACTGAGAAAAAAGACGATGAGTCACTGGATTTTTTAAGGTTTGAAGACAAATCCTTAAAACTTCACTGAAAAGACAAAAATATTTACTCTTTTAAAACGTTGCTAGGAACTACCATTTACGAAGTAATTACAAACGGCAATAGGGGGTATAAGTAAGCCGTGAAATACTTAATCATAAAGATGACTCTGAATATTAAAAACTGTAAAGGATGTCCTAAAAGTAACACAGGATTTGAATTGTACGCCATTTTCATTCTGAAGAGTTGGCAGCATTGCGCAGGATCACCTGTTGTAGTAAACACGTTGCTGTTAGACAAAACGGAGCGCTATACGAGGGATGAGCGAGTGAATATTGCGAACATTCATTACAAGTAAGGAGAGTGTGTAGCTGAGACTGTGAGCAAATTACGTGGAATTTTCGGTAGAAGGAACACTCCAAATGAAGCAATTGTGAAAGGATTAGCTGCCAAATTTGAATAAACAGGTTCGGTTGCAGACAATAAAAAAACAGACCTTCCTCATACTGACCGTTCATCCGAAAATATTTCTACGTGTCACCTGCCATACGGCACGTGAAACTATCTACTTGTTATGGCAGGAATTTAATGGACGACTCATCTCACGTAACATTTAAGTGACTTGGCCACCAAGATCATGCGATCTTACGACTTTTGCCTGAAGCGATTCGTAAAATCCAAAATTCATTCTGCTCAAATGAGTACCATTACTGAATCAAAGGCAGAAATTCGGAGAGTTATCAACGAAATTCAGCCGCAAGTATGCGAAAGCGTAATACGGAATTTGCTAGATGAGTCGTGGAGGACATTTGTCCGATATTCCCTTTCATATTTAATGGCAATGTCTACCTTTTAAAAACATGTAAACATTTTGCCAACTTTTTAATTACTAAAATCTGTTTCCCTCATATGAAAGCCTGCGTATGTTTTGGGACAGCCTTTATTTACTCGCATCTTAAAATAACACTGACAACTTCATTTTTTACTGTCAAGTAAATTAGTCACTACTTTTTTTCTATTGATAATTTCATTATAATGCCTCTGTTTACAAATTTGGGAATGGCAGATATAACTTTTAACACTCACAACACCTCAATTGCAAGATGCTGCATCAAATCTGGAAATAAATACATACTCTAAAATTTTGAAATATCAGCTTTAACCGTAAAAATTATTACCAAACAATTACGTTTAAATTTCTGTCAATGAGTATTTTACGAAACGGCTAAAGATCCAATTTATCTCCCTACAAAATTTTCGCTATAACCATCAATAGGAGTATGAAAATCCCCACTCGACACGAGAAGTTAATTATCAACATCAGTTCCACCTAAACGTTTGGATGGGTATTATTGGGGATTACCCGATTGGACCTTTCTTTCTTCCATTAAGATTAGTTGGCAAATAGATATCGAGACTTTATTGGAAATCAACTGCCGGTCTTTCTTGATGTTGTACCACTTAATCTGCGATACCGCTTATGATTTACGCATGACGGAGCACCATTTCATTTCAGTTTAGCAACTCGATAATATCTTGATAGAGTGTACCAAAATAAATGGATAGGCCAAGGCGTAGTTCAACCCAACCAACAGTGATCTCCTAGATCACCGAACTTAAATCCCCTAGACTACGTAGAATACCATGGTTTTTCGGATTGTTATGACGTGGCCTGTGTACCAGGACGCCTCCAATTACAGATTTATAATGCGCTTTGAATTGCACTTGTTGTTCTTGGGCTGGGCTTTGTGGGGGCAGATCCGCTATTAAAACCGCTAGGTAAGTTTGTAACTACTCTAACCTGAAAATTGTGCTGAAAGTGGAAACATCTTTGAATATGATTGTCATCAAATTTTAAAAAGTTGTATACAATTGACCTAAATTCCAATTAAATTGATTTTTTTGAGATACATGCTGGTACGATGTTAAAATAAAGGATTATGTTTCTGGCAGTTTAGATCTTTTTTGAAGTAAAAGAGAACAAGAGTGTTCTGAGAAAACATAAGAAACTTTTAAAGTTTTGATACCATACCTAGAATTAGAAACTAATAATATACTCAGCAATAGCTAGAACGAACTGTAACATTAAGAAATTAATTTCTGAAAAACAAGCATATTTATCATGGCTTTTTAAAGATAACAAATTTATGTTTTATATTTTCTAAACCCTTCAGCTACCCCTGCTACCACTTCCGTGATCCTCCCAGGGGGTCGCAACCCACACTTTGGAAACCATTGGTGTACACAATGTAAATAAACACGATTGAGGAACACAACGCAGAAGTCAACAAGAAGGGTTACTACATAAATATACATACAGTGTGTACAACCAAATGGAATAAATTCACTATCCCAGTTATTGTACATATTTATAAAAAAATTCCGAGACACATCGATTTTGGATTCTGAAATGACATCCTGCAACGTAAAAATTTCATCCCTAAATTCAACCCTCTCTGAGTGGCAATTGCAATACCTAAATTTTTAAATGGGCCCCTACTGGCTTGTGATACCTTATTTTAAAGGTCCTTTCCTTCTCTATTAAAAAATGCTGCAGGCTAGCAGAGACAATTTCAGTGATTTTTTTCAACATTATCAAATAAAAAGAAGACACATAAATTCATCAAATTTCATAGCTGAGATTGCCAGTTTTATTGAAAGCGCCGTAGCTACTTGTTATTTAATATTGTTTGAGTTTTGTTAACTGCAATGTCTAAGCATAACATAATTCCATTTATACGATGGTTGGTTACGGAGGTAGAATGCGATCACAGACCAAAGTTACTCGCCTATTTCAAGACAAATTTTCTGATTTGCCGCCTATATCTCAAGGTACAATTAACAAAATTGAAAAGCAGTTTCGTGAAAATGGACATATACGGCAGATAAAAAAAGAAGCTTCCAATGCAATGAGTAATCAAGACGTACTGCTTGAGTTCGACGAAAACGCACACAGTTCAAGTCGACAAGCAGCTTCAGCATTGAATATTTCTCATTCCCCGATTATTCGCGTATTAAAAGAAAATAAAATGCATCCCTATAAACTGCTCGCAACACAGGAGCTTAGTAAGGATGCTTTTGATAGAAGAACGTATTTTTGTGAACAAATGGTGCAAAGGTTATCCAACTAGAAAATGTTTTGTTTCCTGATGACTCCACTTTTACTCTTCACGACCACGTTCATTTCTCAATACTGTCTCTACGGGGCTAATGAAAATCCTCACTGGATGAGAGACTTACATACGCAAAAACCTGAGAAGGTTAATGTTTGGGGATAATTGGAGATATAATTATTTACTTCTGCTCTAAAATAATGTCGTGCCAGCTTTGGCAAACTTATATCCTGCTTAATAAAATCCACAAGTTCCATCCGATGTGATATGGTTCCAGCAGGATGGAGCACCACCACATTACCTCGATTTCACATTTCCAAATCGGTGAATAGAGAGGCGAGGATCCCTAGAATAGCCAGCACGTTTTCCTGATCTTACATCCTTAAATTTATTTCTATGGGGATATGTGAAAAGTATGGTATACAAAACTAAGCTGACTTGAGAAGAAACGCCTCAGGTGTTAAAAACGTTAGAAGATATTTTTATTTACGATTATAATGCTGCCAAAACGTTCAGGAATTTATTTTGAACATCTCCTACGCTGAAATTATATGTTTTTACTGAATTATTATATTTGGCTATTTCACACTTTTTACAAATAAACTACAAAATAAACTATAAATAGTTTTATTTTTCTACTATTTAACTAAAACTTCTTATAACTAATGTTACTTTTTTAAACTAAACGCCTATACGATGTTAAGCACGTACATACTCGTATACTAGTATATTTTGATCCAAACATTTCGTATAAGCTTGTTCAAGAAGCCTTATACTTTCCTAAGTCGTTTACGAACGAAAGTAATAGAATCCGTATGGCGTGCACCCACATTTTAAAGTTAATTGTGACATTCAATATCCCAGCACCGAGTCCGCCTTGGTGTGATGCCGAAGAGCATTCGCATACTTTCAGGTCTTTGTTTTTTTCCTCGGTTCGTAAGTCAACACCGGCTTCGGGCGTTCGATGCAGCCGTAATCAGAAACGTTATTTGGCAACTTTATACAATATTCACTTTAAAATCAATACCGTCTCCTCTATCAGATCCACAGTCGGTTGCCTGGTCGGACGTTTCAGCAATAAAACAAACTGTTTGTCACCTTTCCTTGCTCTTATTGATTTTCGAACCGGTTATACGTCCTTTCTTGTACTCTTTTATTTTGAGTTCTATTGCATCGTCTTTATTTTGTGCAGAAGTTGTGTTCTTAAATTATCAAAGAAACAGAGCAAATTCATGTAGTAACAGCTAATATACAGGGTGATTTATTCATAATGTCATTAATTTTAACCAGGTACTCGGGAGGCCTAATAAAGACAGAAAATCGAAAAACATATTTCTCGACTTTCTAAAAGATAAGCCAATTATCCCTTAACTCCCGCTAATTCGGCGCCCTCACATTTGTTGACCGGACG